ACTCTTCGGTTTTCTGTGATGGGAATTTTTGCAACCTTAAAACAATCCAATAAAGTAAAATGCTTCGCAGTCCGTAAGGTTATAGTCGTAAGTTAATGCGGAATCGTGCCTCTTTTGACCGGTATATAACGGTCAACGCAGGCAAGCAATAAGTTCAGATCGTTGATATTAAGTAAAGTAGAAAATTACTGGAATATCTGAAAACACTTGACTTCGCCCAAATCTGGTCTATTGTACTTCCGAACTGAAGTGTATTCTTTGCTGGTCACAGGCCTTCTGATCCTCATATAAGTTCAGAAAATAAAAATAATAACACTAAATCTACCCGCTTAAATTTTGAAAATGCGATTCTCCGGACATAAATGAGCAGAAAGGGTGACCTCAGTGACCATAGTTATGATGTCTTGATGTTTCAAACGGAGACACGCAGATGACTATCATGCCACGTCTCACAGTTATGGTCATGTTAACACGGCGTCAGTTACAGAGCGTTTATCTTAACAGTGCACACTTCAGGAAGGACGGGTTGTTGAAATTGCTAATTGGTTTGCGTCCCGCTTAGGCGAGGGGATGGTGACACTGATTTGGCTTTGACGCTCATAGTCTGCATACATACAGGGGCATAGTTTCTATAGTCGCCGGAGCAGAGGGAAAGGAACGGAGACTGTCTTTCATCCAGAGACATTGGCAACCATCACTAAAACCTGTATTGGCCTTCTTTTCCACCCGGGGCTGCTAGTCTTGTTTGCGCCACTCTGATTGCATTTGTCGTCGTCTGCCAGGGGGTAGTGGTTGATGCAGCAGTAGCAGTGACTGCGCTTTCGTCGGATCTGGACTTCGGTATAGCTGCCTGCGTGTCCGTCGTGGTTTCTCCCGTGTTTGGGTCCACGTTTGGCCTAGCTTTACACTTGCTCATTTGTTTGTTAAGCTGCTTTCGGAGGGCTTGGTAGGCTATCGGGAAGGCTACATAACGAGTGATGGAAGTTGTCTCCAAGTGCCAGATCCGGATTGTTTCCCTATCTAGGCAGTCATTTCCTTGACCCAGGATTTAAATACACTGAAAGTCAAACGTGTGAAAAGGCTCATTTATCGCGCCGCTTTGGTTGGTTGCAGGATTTTGTTTAGCCTTGTTATTCATGTTGTGCTCGCGTAAGCACCTGATGATAAGTTTGTTTTTAACGATTTGTTAGGGTCTGCAGCTCACGCTGGAAGGGGCGACTACATGTCATGCATTAAGTCCAGCTATCGATACTATGCCACGGATGGAGCAATTTTCGTCACCTCGTCGAGGGCTTCATCCAGGGCCTTCCCTACAAGCGCGCCGATGGAATATGGGATTCCCAATGCTGATGCAGTTCCCTTTGCTAACAACGAGACTGACTATATCGACGAGCTTCCTCTCCCTCCCGAAGCCCCAGTGGAGCCGGTGACCTCTGGTACCTTCAACTGTTCAGAGACGTGTATTCGAGATTGGTCTGCGACTCCGATCCCAGAGACAAACACAAAATTGGTCGTAGTAGATCCAGTCTGCCCCTGTGCTCCGAATGATGTGGACTGGCATTTGAGTCCCTCCCTTGGTGAGTTAGCGTGCTTCCCTCTACCCCCTTGTCTTAATATCGACCCTTTTTTGGATGAAATAGTTGATCAAAATCTAGTCTGTATGACTAACTTTTTATTACTATTTAGGTTACTACTTATTTGATTTAAATAGGCATATCCGGTATCCGGTCAGTCAGTCATCAAACAACTGAACATATTAATTTTAAGCTTTTGGGGTTATATCTAGGAGTATGGAATTGGTACTCGAGTAGAGGATGGAGTGAGCTAATAGTCTGACTTATGGTTTCAGAGAGGGCCCAATGACATGGGTGAACTACATAAGGGTTTGCCGCCTGTGTTCCGCCGCGTTCTTGAATCCATTAACGCTGTTCAGGGTTTTGCGCACCACACAATTGTTCAACCATTGGCCTTAGTTTAAGTTATGGGAAAGCAATTGCTTAACAGTCCCAGGCAACTCCCTTGGCAATTCGGAGCTAGGTCTTAGTCTACAGGGTAGATATTTCATTTAGATCCCAAAACAGCTCGCCAAAACCCCATCCTTGTTTAATACGAGACAAGTGGTGAATAATATTGCCTAGTTTGGGTATTACAGCGGAAGGAAACTGTATATAAAAAAGTAGAGCATATAAAATAAAAATAGGAATAATCACTTAAATAATCTAATATTTGGCCACAAAAACACGCCATAAATAAAATGTGCAATTATCCAAATATAAGGAACTGCTCAAGTTTGCGGAACAATGCAAATTACTACGAATTTCCTAGATTGAAGTAACGTGAAGTAAACAAATAAAATAAAGACCGAAGGTCACTAGTATATCTAAAAGTAAACTACAAACTAAACTAAAACTAAATTAAACTAACTAAAGAAAGATAAAGCAGAAGAAGTTAAACTTACTAAGCTAAGAACGAACTAACTAACTAAAACTATATTTGAATAATAAAGAAAGTAAACGAAAATAAGCCAATCTAACTAAAAAACTGATCAAATATAATAACGAACTAACAACTAAACTAATATTGAACTAAAATATAAATAATTTAAGTAAATCAAACTAAATAAGCCAAGGTAAGATAAAATAGTAAAAAAAATAAATTTAAAAGCAACCACATGTTAATAATAAATCTAAAACCGAACTAAGAAATAAGCAAAGACCTAACCAAACAGGGGTTGTCTGAACTAAACTAAATACCTAAACTGAAAATGAATCTAAAATTAAAATAACAATAAAAAGCTTACTAGGTAACTAAAACCAAGGCTAAATAGAAAAAATAACATAAACAATAACCATAAATACACTATTTATGGTGCGCTTTTTGTTGCAAAACATCAGGTTATTTGTAAAAGTTTGGGACCTAAATTAAACTTCCGCCGTTTACAGCTTATCTAAAGACTCTTAGTTAATTTGTGCGCCATTTGTGTAAGCTAACTTGGAGTATCTAAACGAAGATCAGCATACTTTTTGACTTTTCTTGTCTTCTGCTCCAACATTTACTTACTCATTACCACCTTTTTCCCTACCTATAAAATCCTCACTACCACCATTCCCGTATTATCGGAGACTGTGTGCGCTGGCTTTCCAAGTGATCCTACATAGTAGATCCTTGAAAAACAAGTTTTTTTCAAGCTGTTCAGCTATCGATGTTTTTATTTTTCAGCTAAAGATATTACTCTATGTGAAGATCTGCAGAATCCAAGATATCGGCGACCTGTTACGACGTGCACGCCTTCCTAGTTTCTTCGTGGACCTTGACTTTGTCTTTCAGTTTATCCGGTTCCTCTGACTTCCTGTAGAGCCAGCGGAAAGCTCGATTCACGCGCGTAAATGAGACAACTAAAAGCTGTTCAGGCACCCGATACTGCTTCCTCATATATTCCGGCCCTTGCATTTCATCTTCAGAAATTTTGTAGACACCTAACCCACCTTCACCCCATAAAGTCATATTTATGCCAGGCCTCTGTCCTCGCCCAAATATATTTTCACTCTTTGTGGTTCGTTGTGTACATTTCTGATCACCACATATCACGGGAGTGTCCCCTCCACAATGACCGATAATTATCTTGGGAGATTACTGAATCAAACTGAAGTCCCCCAAAGCAGCAGCTCCTAATACTAAAGCATTCGGAGAGCGAATCCCGATCCTCATATTCTGTATTTATTTATGACGGAATTATGGCCCGGTATTCGATTTTATCCAGCGACCTTTTATGGTTGTCAAATGTTCGATCACATGTTATTACTTGTCCATTCTGACTTCTAAATCTTCCGTGAAACCGAGAATAGGAAATAAGGGTTCACTGGTTTCATGGCCGTACACCCCAGTGACAGCAGCTTTGGAGCATACTATCCTCGTTATTTGGAGTCACTTTCTGACCGCTAACCCTGATATAGGTGGGTATTCTTTCGTACAAATTGAAAGGCAGGTCTCCCAAGAAATGTGATTCCAAGGAAAGAGGTTCTTTGAGAAAATAAGATGACTTAATTGAGTAAATTTTCGACGCTGCATTCCCAAGTCGGCGTCAGACTCGAGAAAATGTGCAACGAACAATTAAAATTGCAAAGGTGCTGGTACAGTTGTTATAGCCCAGTTACTTGTGACCCGACTAGTAGGCAGAGGAAGCCAAGAGAGCGGTTCTGATAGCAAGCCTTTATTCAGGACGGTACAGAGACATCGGAATGGAATTAACGTGTCCACCACAGCCTATTATAAGGCTTTGGTGCTTCTAGACTAATCCTGACCAATCGCACGCGAGGGGGATTCTGGCCTGCATGCTGATTCGTGGTTCCCCATGCTGCGAGAAGTTTCTAGGACATCTGCAGTGCACGTGTGCTCGGGGAGTGCGCGGCCGGCCTGCGGCCATGGCTCAAATGGCGTGCACTTCTCGTCCCCATAAGAACAGTTGTACAGTCATCTGATAAAGGTGGCTATGACATGGTTCTCGTCAAAGTTAAAGGACCATTGGCATTTTTTTGTCTTCCCAATCGGTGTTTGCTACGTGAAGGCAAAGAACACTTGTACCGACTCCGACGGTTCGACCGTCGGAAGCGACGTTGACCACGTGCGCCACAGAATGAGCATAACACCGGTAACTTGCACGCGAATAGTAGTGAGGCCTTGTCAGGCAACCGGTCATGGGATTGGTCAAGCAAGCTAAACAGTTGAATGATATAGCAGTGTACAAATCAGGAAATTTTTCAGTAAGTAGGCTTTATACAGACCTAAACATTTTAGGTAGGCATCTTACCTTACATTTATTCATGAAAAGGCGTTTAGGGTTATGGTGTAGGATAGGATCTGGGTTTAACAGTTGAAGTCGGAATTCTACGGTTAGGTTTGTGTTGGTTAGAGTAGGGCTTAGGCTCAGGGTTGGGTTTATGGTCAAGGTTCGCTGAAGATCAGGGTCAGAGGTAAGTTTGTCTGCCGCATACTGTCTTGCCCACTCCGGCCTTCTTTAGTCGCAAACTTTGGGATTATGCGTTTTCTATCCATTCAAACGCTTCTATTTCGTATCTTTTACAAAGCCCCGTATGTACTGGTACCCCGTTGGAGCAATGAAAAAGAAAACTATAGGGCAGAGATTAATTTTTTTGCAATGCCTTCCGCAGATTCTGTAAATTGCCCGTCCATCTGCCCTACTGGTAGAACTAGTATTACAGGAATTCTTGTGCTTTTTTCGTCAACAAGTTTACATAGTCCATCCTGGCCAACTTGTCTTGTGGTTATGCGTTTTGCTAGCGTACCTAGATTGTCACATCGTAAAACTTTTAAAGTAAAACAGCATGCAGAAAGTCACGACTTCAGGTTCCCGATAAGCAGACATTATTTAACCTGCTATTGAAGAATTGATTTCATTTCTGGAATGCCCTGTAATCGGTGGACGTATCGAGGAATAGGGGTTAAAAGGGTTAACATTTGTCATTACGATCTTCAGACCCGGTTTCTCAGGGGAAGAGAAGCCGGCGGGAGGCCAGAGTGGTAGGAGCAGTTTATTCTGTACAGAAGGGTTGGAGAATAGTTAGGAGGAAGTTGCCACTCGGCGTGGGATGGCGTTCGACCGTGAGGTCCGTGTAAGAGCGCGGGGTCGTCAGAGCGGCCAACGACACTGCCTGAGTTCGCCCCTTGTGGGGGTGGATTCCGGAGTGGTGTCAGCGCGGGAATTGTCACAAGCGCCTAGAGCGGCATTTGTGTGAGTCAGCCTCAGGTT